AGAATAATTATATTTAATCTCAAAGTTAACAAAAATTACTTGCAATATAAATATTATACTTATATATATACATAAACGTGAATTTTTAATTCTTACAATATACTGGTATACAAAAAATATCAAAATTGTTAACTATATCAATTACATTACTAAAAATAATTATATTTAATCTGAAAGTTATTTTAATCTTCATCTAAATTAACAAAAATTACTTACAATATAAGTATTATACATATATACATATATACATGAATTTGCAGTGGATTATATTTCCTGGCAGGAAAAGAATTGTACAGAAGAACTTGTAGGAAGTATTAAAGGACCTTCGAAAGGTACGACGTCTTCTTTATCGTCGATATTCCTTTTGCAAGTACTCTTTCCTCTCTCTCTCTCTCTACCTACCATACTCGTAAAAGTTTTCTTCTTTCTTGTTGCTTAGCATCGGTGTATATGATCTGGTGTGTGTATACCGTATGGTGTGGATCCTTTAATGTCTTTTTCTCTTCACGATATATAGACACACATATAACAACAAATATGTGCATATATATATACCAAAAAAAAATCGTATCCATTGGTGGTGGTGGACCATTGGACCATCTCATCCATGGTATGGAATCCAATGGGATCAGCAACGTGCGGCAAACTCGAACACTTCTTACCCTGTAAGAAAAATTGGCGGCTCGCAAAATTACGGTGCCTGCCTCGTTAAAGTGTTACATAAATAATACACCGTGACGCTATAATTTATGAATAATACTTCGCGCACGAAATCCTTATTCTCGAGAGCCCTTATTCTTATTCTTCTTATTCTTCTTCTTCTTCTTCTTCTTCTTCAGTGGAACCCTTCTCTCTGCTTAAACGAAAGAATGAAACCGGGTTGTAAATCTGTTTCACGTGCACCGATCGAATGGAATTCAATCGATATTTCTACTTTTTAATATGTTAACATTTTTTTTACAAAGTTAACAATATATCTACAAGTGTAAGATTATTAATTAATAATTTAAACAATATAATCAATTCCTAGATTAGGAAACACCAACTTAGAGGTAACCAGTAGTGTTCGAAAAGTTATGGTAGGATAACGTTTTTCAAAAATTAACTCTATATATAAGATAGTGAAAACTTATGACTGTAATAAAAATGATGTTATATTGACTCATGAACATAACTATCAAGGTAAAATAACGCTATTAATTGTAAGTTTTTTTTGATATTTGTATAAGAAATAATATGTCATAATAAATAATTTTAGTTGCTGAGGAAGTCTCAAATAGAGACGAAACGTTCAACGGATAAATGTATTGTTCATCTAAATTAAACCTGTCCAAAAAATAACTTCCCTAAGAATTAAACTTAGTAATCATTTGAACAACGTTACTTGATTTTAATTTACTTTAACAAATTATATATTTTTTTTTTCAAACGAAATATTTGACCATTACATTTCTTTCCCCCCCCCTACCTATTCTCCCTTTTTGATTTCTTTTTAATTGGCAATTTTTTATTCAATCACAAATAATATTATAATATACCCCCCCTTTTTTCATAATGCGATATAATAATAATAATAATATTATCGAATATAATAATTCTAACCGCACGATAAATCGTGACCGAAGGAAAAAACGTAAATACAATCTCAAACAAGGTTGCTTGATCGAAAGAATTTCTATCGAGAATATTCGGTGCTCTAAGGCAAAACCCCTTTTCTCCTTTTACGGAAACGTGAAATTCTTCTCGAAGAGTTATCCGCGTTCGAGTCATGGTTTGAAGGATCGTCGAACCTTTTTCTCCAACAACAACCCTTTTATTTCTTGATTCTCTTTCAAAGCCAACAAGAAAACAAAAAAAGAACCCCAAAAAATATTCTTCAAAATAAAACGATCGTCCAAGCTGAAGCACGCGATTTCGTGGAAGTCAATTTAACGATACGAACAATTTGGAATTATGTATGAGTCTCATATGTCAATTCGAAAAATTGATTAACTTAATTTAACTTTCGTGTATTATACATTTTTTTTGGTCTCTCTTTCTTTCACATACAAATTCATTCGTCGTTGTTTTATATCCTAACGTAAAGTGAAAATTTCCAATACCCTTTCCCCCCCCCACCCCACCCTATATACACCATTATAAATA